CATTTTAAAAACATCCGTTGTTCGGTCCGGTTGGTGTTTTGTTTATCCAAACAGTGGTCACTTTACTGTTGTCCACTATTACACAGTCATGATCGGTACTCAGAAGGTTGGTAGTTCTCTAGGTAGACTAAATCCGCACAGTGGACTAGTTGTTCGTCTATAAAAATAAGCACCTACTGGCGAATTCCCACTCAGTGAAACTGCACTCTGAGCCCCTATCAGAATGGCACACCTATAGATAGATCCTGTTCATGTAAAATCGATGATCCACTTGAATTTACCTCCGGGTACAATCGCGTAACTGCTTAGCGTGGCTAATTGACAGGCAGAAAGTTCGGCGTGGCTGCATTCCAATTGTTTATCATTTCTGCCCCACAGCAATACATGATTGTAATCGCGTCGGTTGTTTGAGAAAGCTGTGCTTCCTAGGTTAGTGACAATCTTTAAAATTCCATTTCCGATACTGACATTTCATCCTAGATTTTTCCGGATCATCATAACTCGCACCAATCCATCAAACTCTCCCGGGCACCAGGTCACATGAGGCTAGTTAAACGCGTTCTCTTGAATTGTTCGCTGTAAACATCAGGTTTTAAGAATTTAAGTCATTCATATATGTTGTATGGGTTTTGCGTCTAGTCTTCGCAATTCTAGCCCATGTTTTATTTGGGTCGTCGATATGATGGTCGCTGTCGAAATCAGAGCTTTGCTACCTTTTATTCGAATCGATCATTAGAACATCCTGGAGTCAACCAGGCACATTACAGGCGATTTGACAGCCAGTTCACCCCTGATATTGTCATAGCTCTCGTCCCTGTTGATCACTTCCAGCAATCAGTTGGACAACGTTGAGTTACACGCAAAACCCCAAAAGCCCAATCTTCCAAATGGGTTCTTTTTCAACAAATGTAGTACTATGAATACAGCAATACAGTGACAAAGTTGTACAAACCTCAAATCGTGGAACTACACCGGCTTCCATACACCGGTTTAGGAACTGCTCATCATCATCATCATCATCGACAACATGACATCAGTGTTCAACACTGATGCTTCACTGCCGTACAACCATGATTTATTTGAAAGCCTTATTGTAAGGAAAAGAGTAAAGGTGGACGGGGAAGGGACTTAGTACTAGCTTACCACAATCATTCCGAGGTGCCTACACCTCCAAACATTCACTCGGGCAATCTGGATAGACACTGACATCGGTTGGCAGCCATATGTTTTAGTGTCTCCAACCAGGCACAGTGAGGATAATGCGGTCCCCATCCCGGAAGGCGAGTAGCACCGACAGCACCCAAGCGTTTCGTGATCTCCTTCATA